CACACACACACACACACACTCACACACACACACACTCACCCACATACACAAACACACGCAGACACCCGTACACATAAATTCACATACACAAACACACGCAGACACCCGTACACATAAATTCACATATACAAACACACACAGACACCATCCTCACCCTTCACCTGTTCCTGACACACACACAGTTACTCCCCGGTGTCTTATCGCAAACATTTTCAAACGTTCAGAGGTACTGGAAGAGTTGCACAGGAAGCACCGAATGCCCACACCTGGCTCTTGACTTGTAATCATTTTCCTCTGTGTCCTTCGTCACGTCTCGTCTTGTCACTCAATGCATTCTGCAGCGGCGGACATCAGGATGCCTCCTGGAAGCCTGTCGAGGGCCGCCTGTGGCTCTGGTTGTGCACACCCACTGTTGTGGCCCTCCGGTTCCCTCGCACACACATACATGCACAACAACTAAGAGTGCTTTCCAGCCCTCCCTGTGTTTTCTCCTTCAGCCCGCACACACCACTGTTCCACTGGGGAGCACCCTCTAATTGCTGATGAGCAGCAAACAGCCATTGGGAATCTTGTGGTGACCTTTGGTTGCCTGGGGGCCTTTGTTAAACCTCCAGCTGGCGCTCACCTCGTGCGGATACTCGGTCTCCAGCTTTGGGCTTACTGTGCCCCTTGGGTGGGTGGTGCAGCTCGGGCACTCGCGTAGGTATCTGCGGGGTGAGAGTTGTGGCTCCGTGGGTTTCACTCTGCTTGCGCTGGGTTTTGGGGAAACAGAAAAATCCACACATTTGCAAAGAAGGAAACTGGCTTGGGGAAGGAAGGGAGCTCATGTGGGCAGCTGGCTCGCATGGCATCTGGATTGTTCTTGGGGTTTCTCTTGGGGGCTGTTTGTGACACACTAAGAGTGCCCCGGTATAGGCACGGTATGGGTCAAAGGCAGAGGTTGTGGGCTGCTTGGTTAATTTTTACCTGGGAGGTCCCCTGGCATCTTGGCCAGGTAATTACAGAGTGAGGGATCATGGGGTGTGTGGGGGAGGGTGTAAGACAGGACTGCAGGGCAGGGAGTAGGACCCCTCGCTCCAGACACATAGCAGCCTCCTCTAGTCCTCAGGTGCAGTTAAGATTCCCTGCAGGGAGATGGTGTGGTGGCAGGAGGGTTGGGGAAGGGGACCTGGGTTTAAATGGCTCTAGACAGTAAGTCGGGAGCCCCGTTGTGGCACAGTGGGTTAAGTGTGGGCCTGCTAATCAAAACATCTGCAGTTCAAACCACCAGCCACACACCATGGGAGACGGATGAGGCTGTCTGGTCCAAAATGGTTTAGTCATGGAAACCCTTTGGGGCAACTCTACTCTGTCCTGTAGGGCTGCTATGAGTCTGAGTGACTTTTGTGTCAGTGGTCTGGGTGAAAAGTTACTGAGGTTAGATGGTATGGATGTAATAGCCAAGTGCTGAAAACATATAAAGTGTTTATGAAAGTATCTTTAATTATCAAAGTAATACATAAAAATATGTACATATGTAAACATATAGAGACTTGTTACTACCCAACTCCTGTGGACCATGAAAAGGTGCTCCCACCCTTCACAGTGAGATGTAGAAAAGAAAGTCACATTTTTGTTATTTGGGGCATGCATTCAGATATTAGTTTTGAAGAAATGAGAGAAGAACGGTTGCAGTTTTTATAAATAAGCTAAGTGCACGTTAAGATAAATGAATAGCTCTAGAGGTTAACGATGTGCATTGAAACAATTACATTTTCTACACATCATATTATCGTATGATTTTAAAATACCTAATCATCAATCAAATAATTTTCTAAGTGCTTTATGAACAGAATATAGCTATTTTTCAGATAAATGAAAGAAGAGTTCCAGCAAATTTACAAACTTACGTATATGCAGGCAGGCTGAGACTCTCTTGAACGTCCTGTGCAAAATGAAAAAGGAAGTTGTTGACCTTGGCATTACACATGCAACATGTTCAGGTCTATTTGTAGTCAACTTTGAGTCATGGTGCTTTGGGTACTCCTGGGTCTAAGGATGGGCCCCCAGTGGTGGGATACCGCCCTCACTCCCAACCCTTGTGTGCACATGTGTTTTCATTTCTCCTGAGTAAGAACCCAGGAATGGGATTGCTGGGTCATATGATAGTTACCCCAACTTGTCTCTCAGTTTGTCATACAGTGGTGTCTTGTGTGATGTGATAGGAGAACCAATGCCATTGATATTTCAAATACCAGCGAGATCAACCATAGTGAACAGGTTTCAGTGGGTCTTCTGGACTAAGAACAGACTCAGAGGAAGTAACAGTCAGCCCATTTCTAAAGAATTCACCACTGAAGACCTTATAAATAACAGCAAAGCACTGTCTGATATAGTGTCGGAAGAAGAGTCCCCCAGGCTGGAAGGCACTCAAACTACAACTGAGGAAGAGCTGCCTCCTCAAAGTGGAGTCAAGCATCTTAACGGCATGCAGGGAGCGGGGTTTGGGCAGCTGATGGGGTACAACTACAAATGAGAAGAAGCAGCTGCAAGCATCCACTAATAATTGGGTCATTCGATGCATGAAGTAATAATCTAGAAAAGCCAGAGGTCACCAAAAATGAAACGGGTGGCGTAAAGATGGACGTCCTAGGCATTAGTGAGCTGAAACGGACTAGCTGGTCATTTTGAGCCAGATGATCATAAAGCTTACTCTGCTGAGAGTGTCAAGAAGAATGGTGTCTCATTCACTGTCAAAAAGAACATTTCAAGATCCACCTTCAAGTTTCATGTTGCCTGTGATAGGATAGTATCCACACGCCTACAAGGAAGACCGATTCATACAACTCTATTTCAAGTTCACACTCGGACCACTAAAGTCAATGATGAGGACATGGAAGAAGTCTACCAATTTCTTCAGTCTGCAATGGATCAAACAGCCTATCAGAATGCATCAATAACTACTGGTGATTGGATTGTGAAAGTTGATGTTGGGATCTGTCCGTGTGCTTCTTCGACACCCTCATGTGTGACACCCTCAGAGACAAAGGCAAGATGGAACCTTACAGCACTGAGCTCAGATTTGTCCTCTTTTTAAACAGAAGCCTTGAAAGCTATAAACTTTCCTCCAACTCCTGCCTCAAATGCATCCTGTGAATTTTCCTGCATTGTCTTCATTTTCATTCAACCCAGGAAGCAGTTTTAAATCTCCCTTGTGATGTTTTCATTGATCTACGAGCTATTCACAAATGTGTTTGCTACTTCATTTCTAGATATTTGGGCATGCATGTCCGAGTTTGTTTTATCTTTTGCTATTGATAACTCATTTGATATTTTGTATTGGAGAATGTTCTTTGCCTAGTTTCCACCTACTTAAAGTTAGTAGGACCCATTTGATGGCGCTGCATATGCGCGATTCTAGAGAATATTCTCTACGTGCTTGAGGAGAATGTTTACTTTGCAATTATGGGGTGAAGCCTTCTATATATGTTTTTACATCAATTTTGTCAACCGTGTTGTTTAAATATTTTATTCATTTACTTCTTTTCTATGTTGTTGTGTTTCTTTCCCCACCCCCACCCCTATCAGTTACTAAAAGACAAGTGCTGAGATGTCCAGCTGTAACTATTATTTCAGCTATTTCAGCTAGGTCAGTGTTTACATCATGGATTTTGAGGCTCTGTGGTTAGGTGGATTTGACATGAGGGGACGTAAGGAACCCTGATGGTGGAGTGGTTAGGAACTGTGCTGTAATCTGCAAGGTCAGAAGTCCAACACCACCAGCCCCTCCTTGGGAGAAAGACAGAGACTTCTATTCTGTAAAGAGATACAGTCTCTGAAACTCACAGAAACCGTCCTACCCTGCTCTATAGGCTCTCTGAGTGGGCATCAACTCAATGGCAGTGAGATCTTGTTGTTTTGGGGGGGCTTTGGTTAGTTTGTTTTGGTTGCTAGGTGTGTATACACTTACAGCTATCATGACTCCCTGTCCTGTGGTCCAATGCATATTATAAATCATATTTTCATAATTGGGAACATTCTTTTGGCTAGTAAACCCTTTTCCTCATGTCCATTGTGTCTGGTATGATCAAGGCCACACTTTCTGACTCGTGTCTGCTGTTTGCATGGTGCTCAGACATGCTGGGTCTGCCAGGGCTACCATCTATGGCCCGTGGGCAGCGTGCCCTTGGGAGCTGGCTCTGGTTGTTGCTCAATTTATGATGCTATTTTGCTCCCCACAAAGAGGCCAACCCAGGTGTTGGGGGAAGTTTGTGAGGGAGGGGTCACAACAGAATCAATTGGCCATGATTTAAGCTTGGTCCATCACACCCAGTATCTCCAGCAATGAACTCTCCCACTGGGCTCTGCTCTGGATGACCCAGATTTACATGACTGGGCCAGGCATGTCCCTTTCATAGGTGGAATCTTGTCCCTCCCTTTGGACCTTGGAAGGGATCACAGGAGCTTTCCTCAGGGAACAAACCTGTGGTTCTGAATGAAGCACACACACACACACACCCTCTTCTGGCTTGATGTTATGAAGAATGGACACAGAAACCACAGAGCACACACGCAGCCAAAGGTGCGTGTCCACTGGAAGCCATGGAGGGGAAAGAGGTCCTTGCAGCACTGCCACCCGAGGCAATGTCCCCAGCCCACAAAGTCCGTGAACAGGGAAGCGCAGAAATGTGCTACCTGCAGGCTTCCCTCTGTTACTTGGATGGATGCCTCTGCCTTCTTGTCCGAGTTTTTCCGAGTCGGTTGTCGTCCTCGAGTCATGTAATCAAAGGTGCTCAACCTTCTGACTACTAGAAAGGAGATGAATGGAAAAGGGCCAAGAGTCACCAGCCTACATCAGCTGGACACAGCGTCAACTCAGCAATGTAACGGGGGGCCAACCTTCCCTGGGCCCTCCAACACCCTTGGGTGGGCCTTGAGATGAAAGTTCAGTCCCTGCTAACCCCTCGATTGAATCCTCAGGGGAGACCCCATATCTGAGGACCTGGGAGTCACTCTGGACTCCCAAACTGCAGAGACTGTGCGGTCATCAATGGGTGTTGTTTAATGAGCTCCATCTGGGGGCAATTTGCTAAGCAGCATTCACTAATTACATGCCCAATTCCTCCTGGAAACCTGTTCTCTCATGCCCAAATACCCTAAAATGGACATGCTCAGGCCTCAGCCCAGTAGGTCTTCTCTGTCTCAGAGTGGCTCCTTCCCTGGGTGCCACTGTCCTCACCTCCTGCCTGTTGCTGTGGCGACGTGTCATCGAGTCAGTTCTGGCCCATAGTGACCCTATACCCAACAGAACGAAACTCAGCCCAGTCCCGCAGCATCCTCACAATTGTTCTTGGGTTTGAGCCCACTGTTGCAACCACTGTGCCAATCCATCTACTAAAAGAGGGCCTTCCACTTTTTCTCTGCCCCTCTACTTTGCCAAGCATGATGTCCTTCTCCAGGGACTGGTCTCTCCTGACAACATGTCCTAGGTATGTGAGATGAAGTCTGTAGAGAGTCTTCAAGGAGCATGCTGGCTGTACGGCTTCCACAACAGAGTCGTTGGCCACCGCGTCCCAATGATTTGGGTTCTCCTTCTTCTTCTTTTAAATCATTTTATTAGGGACTCATACAACTCATTACAATTCATACACGCATCAATTGTGTCAAGCACATTTGTACATTCATTGCCTTCATCACTCTCAAAACATTTGCTCTCCACTTGAGCCCTTGGCATCAGCTCCTCATTTTTCCCCTCCCTGCCCGCTCCCTATTCCCTCATGAACCCTTGATAATTTATAAATTATTACGTTGTCATATCTTGCACTGTCCAACGTCACCCTTCACCCACTTTTCTGTTCTCCGTCCCCCGGGGAGGAGGTTATGTGTAGATCCTTGTAATCGATTCCCCCTTTCCATTCAACCTTCCCTCCACCCTCCCGGTATCACCACTCCCACCACTGGTCCTAAAGGGATCATCCGCCCTGGATTCCCTGTGTTTCCAGTTTCTATCTGTACCAGTGTACATCCTCTGGTCTAGCCAGATTTGTAAGGTAGAACTGTGATCATGATAGTGGGGGGAGGGGAAGCATTTAGGAAGTAGAAGAAAGTTGTGTTTCATCGTTGCTACACTGCATCCTGACTGGCTTGTCTCCTCCCCATGACCCTTCTGTAAGGGGATGTCCAATTGCCTGTAGATGAGCTTTGGGTCTCCACTCTGCACTCCCCCTTATTCATTATGAATAATTTTGAATTTGAAAAATTCAAAAAATTTTTTGAGAAATTTTTTTGTTCGGATGATGCCTGATACCTGATCCCTTGACACCTCATTATCGCACAGGCTGGTGTGCTTCTTCCATGTGGGCTTTGTTGCTTCTGAGCTAGATGGCCGCTTGTCTACCTTCAAGCTTTTAAGACTCCAGATGCTATATCTTTTGATAGCCAGGCACCATCAGTTTTCTTCACCACATTTGCTTATGCACTTGCTTGGTCTTCAGTGATGTCGAGAAGGTGAGCATCATAGAATGCCAGTTTAATAGAACGAAATATTCTTGCATTGAGGGAGTACTTGAGTGGAGGCCCAATGTCCATCTGCTACCTTAATACTAAACCTATACATATATGCACATAGATCTATTTCCACATCCTCATATATAAATATATTTACATATCTACATGACTATATTTAGACCTCTATAAATGCCCTTTGCCTCCTCTTTCCTCTATTTCATTTGACTTTCCTCTTGTCCTTCCATCATGTTCAGCCTTCATGTGGGTTTCAGTAATTCCTCTTGGTTACATTACCCTATCAGGCCTCCTACGCCCTAGATTTGGGTTTTTAACATCTCTCCAGGTTCCCCTATCCCTCAGTGGACTTGTCAGGTGTCTTGTGAGCACAATGGTTCTGGGCTCACCTGCCTGCCCAGTCTGCTACCTTCAGGCTATGTGTGCACTACTGCTGGAAGGATCTCTCATATCAGCACATCTGATTCATTACCCCTCGGTTCTCCCAGTCCCCAGCAACCACCTGGCCTGTCACTCAGAAGTAGCACATGGATCGATGGCCATACCACTGCGCAGACACCTAATCTCCTCAAAAGATCATGCTAGCCTGGAATAATGAGGAAAAAGAGGAGTGTCACCTCCAAACGGTTCCCTTCAGAAAAAAAAAACAGTGGTCATCAAGTTATTGTCTCATATGTGTTGGCGTGGGCCTGTGCGCCCTAGGTTTCTCAATGGCTGGCCATCCAGAAGTAGAACACCACGTCTTTCTTCCAAGGTGCTTTGGTGGACTGGAACCTCCAATCTTTTGGTGATCAGTTAAGAGCCTTAACAATTGGGACTACCCAGGATCTTCAGGGCGGTGAGGGAGATGTCACCTTTCCCCATGCACAGAAGGCATGGATTGCAGGCCTGCTGTGCCGCCACCACCACCAGCTCTTCAACCCGCTGTGGTTGATGGATGGACGTGGTGAAGTGAACTGTCTCGAGAGGGTTCTTGTAGTCATGCACTCTGGAGCTCCTACCAGATGACTAGGTGGGACCATACAAACAGGGTGGGCAAGGCACTAATAGAGGGCACTGGTTCGCTTTTGCTGCCATTCCCCTGGCTGTGAGGATGAGGTATCTCAGAAGCAGGAACAGAGCAATCCCAAGGCTATCAAGATAGAAGAGCCACCAGTGGAGCCCACTCAAGTTTATTGTCTGAAATGGCTGAAGCCGAAACTGGGGGTGTCCAGAAGCTGTAGCATGGAGACCACAGGACCAAGCAGAGGAGCAGCCCCAAGAAGATGAGACTGTGAGGCAAGTGGGGGTGGGCTTGCTGGATCACTGAGTCAGAGACCAGGGAGTGCCCGACTGAGAGGCCAAGGGTCGAGAGAGATGGGGCTTCTGGCTGCGGAGAGGTGATGCTGTGGACAAAAATTTACAGCTGAGTGTTTTTCAATCCTGGCTTGTGTTAACTTGGGACTTCCCTAATGTTGTTGCTGTTGGATGCCACCATGTCAGCTCCGACCCATAGCGACCCTATGAACAGGGAACGAAACACTGCCTGGTCCTGCACCATCTCCACACTTGTCCACGCCTGAGCCCACTGATGCAGCCCCTGGGCCCATCCATCTCATTGAGGGCCTTCCTCTTTTCCGCAGCCCCTCCACTTTATCAAACATGATGTCCTTCTCCAGGGACCAGTCTCTCCTGACAACATGTCCAACGTATGGAAGGTGAAACGTTGCCATCCTTGCCTCTAAGGAGCACTCTGGCCTTACTTCTCCCAACATAGATGGGTTTATATTTTCAGCAGTCCATGACACTTTCAGTATTCTTCTCCAAAACCACATTTCAAATGCATCAATTCTTCTACGGTCTTCCTTACTGAATGTTCAACTTTCACATGCGTATGAGGCAATGGAGAATACCATGGCTTGGGTCAGGCACGCCCTAGTCCTCAAAGTAGCATCCTTGCTCTTCAACACTCCAAAGAAGCCTTATGTAACAGATTTACCTAATGCAATACGTCTTTTGATCTTGACTGCTGCTTCCATGAGCATTGATTGCGGATCAAGTAAGATAAAAATCCTTGACAACTTCAAAGATTTGCTTTCTATTTATCATGCTGTTTACCTAAGGGTCCAGTTGTGAGGATTCTGGTCTTCTTTACATTAAGTTGTAATCCATACTAAAGGCTATGGTCCTTGACCATCTTCAGCAAGTGCTTCAAGTCCTCCTCACTTTCAGCAAGCAAGGTTGTGTTGTCTGCATACTGCAGGTTAATAAACCTTGCTCCAATCCTGATGCCATAGTCTTCTTTATATAATGCAGCTGATTTTTCCAGCATATAGATTGACTAAATATGATGACAGAATACAACCCTGACACACACCTTTCCTGATTATAAACCACGCAGTGTCCCCGTGTTCTGTTCGCACAACTGCCTCTTGGTCCATGTACAAGTTCCAAGTGAGCACAATGAAGTGTTCAGGAATTCCCATTCTTCCCAACATTATGCACGGTTTATTATGGTCCACACAGTCAAATGCCTTTGCATAATCAATGAAATGTGTGTTAAGCCAGGTTGACTAAAGAAACAAATCCAGTGACACTCATATATGTGTAAGAAAAAGCTTTCTATCAAGAAGTAGTTATATATCAGGAAAACATCCCAGCCCAGTCCAACTCAAGTCTGTAAGACCCATACTAGTCCATAAGTCTCTTTGGACTCACGCAGCCACATGCAATGATGCAGAATGCAGAAGGATCACAGGCTAGTGGATGCCAAGTCTTGTGGATCCAATGGCAGTAGATGCATCTCCTGGGCTCTGGCAGGTCTCAGAGTGGCTCATCAGCAGGAAGATGAAGGCAGAGAGAGAGGGGGAGGCTCCCGGGACCCTCCTTATGAGAAGGCCATGCTCATAAGAAGTCACTATCAGGCTGTGACCTGATTGGCAGACTAAACTCACCCCTACACTTTTGCATATCTTCAAGTTGACTTGGAATTATGTAACCACCACAATAAGTAAACATCTTTCTGGTATTCTCTGCTTTGAGCCAAGATCTGTCTGACATCAGCAGTGCTATCCCTTGTTTCACATCCTCTTCTGAATCTGGCCTGAACTTCTGACAGTGCCTCATCAAAGTACTGCTGCAACTGTTGGGTGATGTTCAGAAAAAATGTTACTTGTGTGCGATATCAATGATATTGTTCCACAGTTTGAGCATTCTGTTAGGTCACCTTCCTTTGGAATGGGCACGGATATGGATCTCTTCCAGTCGGTTGGCAGCTCAAGCTTGCTTACGACTGTGGAGATTCCTCGGTGGTGGTTTATCCCTGTGGGTCTGGGGACAGGAGTTAGGCTTCTGGTCAAGCCTGCTGGGTCTTTATGATGTTCTTTTTCCTCCTGTGGTTAGTTCTTGGGGCACTGAGCTGGTCTTCCTTCCTTCGGCAAAGGGCTGTTTCCCTGGGGAGTCCCAGCTTGAGGGGGCATCTCTTGGAGCAGTTTTGTGCTCACCCCGAGTTTCCCCAGCTCCAAGCAGCTGACCAGTTTCTTGGTCTAGGGCTCCCTATGCTGTGCTGGTGAGCACCCAACCCCACCCTCCGCACAACACTGGTCTTCATGGTGCATGGGCTGTTTCCCTGGGTGGTGGGTAGATGCCTCTGGTGTCCACTTAGCAGAGGGGGCAGTTCCCCATGGCCACTAGCAGTGGTCTCGGCTTTCAGCTCCCACCACTTGGGGTCTGAGGCCCCATTCCAGGGACGAATCTGTGCCCGGTTGGCTGAGCAGAGTCTGAAACCAGGGTTGTGAGCCGAGGGCTGCCACCTTCCCCAGCATCTCATTTTGTGTTGCAAGGTCCGTCCTAGAAGCCTCAGCACTGTATCCAGTGTCACTAGCAGCCTATCTCTCATGTAGCATGTGGCCTCCTGCCTGGTCTGTTGTGACCTCTCACAGCTAAGTCCTCCCTCGGGTCTGAAATGCACACGGCAACTGAAGTTTCCAAGCGTCCACCCTCTGTCGACACACATATTCCCCGTATCTCTGCTGATGCCTGAAAGGGATCGGACACCAGTAAGAGGCAGAGAGACAGACTTGGCTCTGACTCACCGTGATCTTATGGACCACAGAACAGGGCACCACCCAGCTCTGTGTCCTGCTGGCCACTGCTGTGGTGACCCTGCCAACCCATCTCACCGCAGGGCTTCCCTCATTGACCCTCAGCGTCACCAAACGTCCCATCATCAGCGTGTCCAGAGCGAACAGAGTGAACATGGTTCTGCTTCCATCCCCACAGTTGCCTCCGGCTGCTTTTCAGAAGTAGAGGGCCGGCCCGCCTCGCTTCCTACTCTTCCTTGGTCTGGGAGGTCCGCTGCAGACTGCCCACTGCGGAGGAGCCGAATCACAGCGACAGGCAAGCCCGACAAGCAGGCAGGGGGGTGAGCCGAGGAACCCGAAGGGGATACAAAAGGGAGGAAGGGCTCTGAGGTTTCCGTCCTGAGAGCAGCTCTTGCTCAGGTCGGGTTCGACTTCGCCAATCGGCGCAGATAGAGGCTAACTAGGTGGTGACAATACAAGGGCTCCCGGTTGCCCCCGACCCTGCGGAGTCAGGAAGGGGATAACACTACCGAGCCTTGCTGAACACCTTTCACAGGCGGAGCCATCCCATCGTGCCAGGAAAGGAGCTTTGCTGGCCGGGGGCGTCTGTGGCCCTGCCGGCAGGGTGGCTGTGGGTTGGGCTGCTAACTGCAAAGTCAGCAGTTCAAAGCCACTAGCTGCTCAGACGGCGTGAAGTGAGGTTCTCTCCTCCCTTAACGAGTTAGCCGGCCAGTTCTACCCTGTCCTGTAGGCTTGCTGTGAGCCAGCAGACGGTTCTCAGCAGCTTCTCTCTTGGAAGTGTGGGGATGGCTTCGGGCCCAAACAACTGTGAGGACGGCGGAGGGCTGCGCGGGGTTCGGTTCTGTGGTGCACGCGGTCGCTATGAGTCGGGGCCAACCCGATGGCCCCTCACAGCAACAGGAGTCGTCCGGGCTCCATGGTGGTGAATTTGGTCATTTTCCATGGGTGGTTGGCTCCCTCGCGCAGGTCGTGGGGACTGTCACCCCCAGTTCCTGCTGGGCGGCCCCTACGGTGGGCAAGTGGGGTCCCCTGTTGGGAGCCTGCAGTGTCTTCAGTCCCGTGTCCCCTCCCCGAGACCCGGGGCTGTGGGCCCAGTCATCAGCACGGCCCCCTTCCCCCCAGCCCCCGGCAGCATCGGACGGCGGGCACGCACGGAGGTAGAAGTGGAAGAACAGCAGGTGGCCCAGGAGCAGGAGGCTCACGAGGTCGAGCATCAGCGCCACCACCCCGATGAGGAGGAGCACGGGCGCCTTGGTCTGCACGGGGAAGAAGGGCAGGAAGAGCAGCCACGTTTCCTTGTCTTCGATGTCTGTTGGGAGTGAGACTGCGGTGGCCGTGGGCAGCGCCCAGCACCTGTCCCCCACCCCACAGGCCTCCTGGGAGACCCAGTCCCAGGGGGCATCCTGCTGTGCCCCTGCGGGAATTGCTGGGGAGACTGGCTACCGTGACTCTCACCAGAAGGGTCTGGAAGCCGCAGCAAAGAGAGGCTGGACCACTGGCTCGGGTCACAGAACTGTGGTAAGCTACAGGCCAGAACCAACTAGTGGGGTCTGCCCAGTTCTCACTGCTCTGCATCCACACCCCAGGATTCCCCAGGATGCACCCTGACTCTCTCCTTGGGGTTGGCACCTAATGGGTATGTTACAACTGCGTTGGGAGGTGTAAATGGGGGAATGGGCAAAGAGTGGCAAGTGGATGGGGAGTGAGTGGGGTGATAGATGGGGAGTCTGATGGTGGGACTGGGCAGGTGAGTGGGTGGGCAGTGAGGGAGGGAGTCAGTGAGCAGTCTGGAGGTGGGCAGGGAGGGGGTGGGGAATGGGGAGTGAGTGGGGGAGTGGGTGGGCTCTCTGGGGATGGGCAGGGAGGGGTGGGGAGTGGGCAGGCGAGTGGGAGGGCATTGAGGACAGAGTGACTAGGGATGGACCTGGAGTGGAACCGTTTCCAAAGCGGACACATGCTGAGAAGCTTGGCCTCGGGCCAGCCATGCCAGCAACCCCCCACCCCCACCCCCAAAGCCCGGAGCCATCTCCTGGACATCAGGGAAGCTAAGCGTTGGAAAGAGGTTTGGGCGCTGCTGCCATTGGCCCAGGTGGAGTCTGCTGGAATCACAGGCGAGGCCCCAGCGTGTCCCTTTGGCCAGGCCTGGTGGGAGTGAGTTGGGCCGGCCAGCTCTGAACTGAAGATGCTGCCCCTGGACAGGCCAGTGGGCCATGGTGCTATTCTTGGGGCTAATCCGAGGGCCATGCCAAGGAGAAGCAGCCCCTCCCCTGCGTACTTCGGAAGTGGGGGTCACTCCGTAGCTGCTCCTGGTCCATGAGGTACTGGATGAAGACGTAGAGGAGGATCATCGTCAGGAAGACCAGCCCGGCCACTGCAGAAGCCACGGAACTGAAAAAAACCCTGTCAGGGGGCGGAGCTCTGAGGCACGCCCACTCCAGGTCCACCCACCTTTTGCTGCGGGCAAAGAAAATTACCCAGCAACCCCCCATGCCCACGCCGACATGAAAAACGTTTGTGCTCCCGCCCACCATCATCCAGGATAAAGTGCAGGTATCTGCTTTGGCAGCGTTCCCCATTCCCCTCCAAATGCCCCCCCTGTGATCGTCCCAGCACCCCCCTCACTTAGGGAAACGCAGCTCTCACGACCAAAATCTGCCTTGACCATACGATGGACCGTTGTCGCGGCCGAGCTGGGGTGGAGGTGGCGAGATGCAGCATGGCCCTCTGCCCACAGGCCTGATAGAATGGCTTCCTCCCAGGGCCCCTCTCAGTCCACCTTAGGCCCGCTCCCTTCTCTCACCTGCTCTCTCTGTGGCCACTTACTGCATCCATGCCACAGAGCCAAAGACTGCTGTTAGGTGCCATCGGGCCGGGACTGACTCACAGTGACCCTGTGTACTCTACTGCCAGTCCATTGCGACCCTGTGTACAACTGCCAGCTCTTAGCGACCCAGTGCTCAACTGCCAGCTCACAGTGACCCTGTGTACAACAACTTCTGGCTCACAGTGACCCTGTGTACAACAACTGCCAGCTCACAGTGACCCTGTGTACAACTGCCAGCTCACAGTGACCCCATGTACAACAACAGCCGACTCACAGTGACCCTGTGTACAACAATGGCCGGCTCACAGTGACCCTGTGTACAACATCTGCTGGCTCACAGTGACCCTGTTTACAACTGCCAGCTCTTAGCGACCCAGTGCTCAACTGCCAGCTCACAGTGACCCCGTGTACAACAACTGCCAGCTCACAGTGACCCCGTGTACAACAACAGCCGGCTCACAGTGACCCCGTGTACAACAACTGCCGGCTCACAGTGACCCCGTGTACAACAACTGCTGGCTCACAGTGACCCTGTATACAACAACTGCCGGCTCACAGTGACCCCATGTACAACAACTTCTGGCTCACAGTGACCCTGTATACAACAACTGCTGGCTCACAGTGACCCTGTGTACAACAATGGCCGGCTCATGGCAACAGCTGCTCAGGACCATGGGAAACAACTGCTCCCCGGGTTTTCTGGGTCTGGTGCCTCCTGCTCACACCCCAGCTGCTGCGGCTGACCACCCACCCCGCACATACACAAGTAGGAGTGCGCCCATGGCAGCTTCCCAAGGCCATGCAGATGGCCGGCTGGTGGGTGGGTGTGAGAGCCGTGCCCTGCCGAGCTGGGGACCCCGGGGCACGGCCGTTGGCCTGGCTCACCAGTAGTTCCTGCTGCCCACGCAGTTATTGAGCCACTTGCAGTGGTGGTCGAAGTTGGTGATGCACTTGTTGCAGGCACTGCAGTGCTTGGCTTTGGGGGTCCTAGAAGGTGGGCAAGTCAGAGCCGGGGTCCCCTCCAGGGGCTGTGCATCAGGGAGGGCACGTCTATTCCCTGACACCCCAGCCACAAGTCCCTCTGGGTTAGGCCTAAGTCAGGCAGAGGTGACCATCTTCGAGGAGAGACAGGGACAGATGGTCAGGGCAATAGAACAGACAGGAGCCCTGGGGGAGGGCGGGCAAGTGGGGAGGTGCAGCCCTTGACCCTAGGTCATCTGGTCACTCAAGACCCAGGCAGACCACAGGCTGGCATCCCCTTCCCAGAGGAAGGAAGCCCACTCTCACTTTGGACACAGGAGCCAACCAGAGTGGGGACTGGTCTGCCTATAGCAGAAGACTCCTAGAGCTGCATGGAGCTGGCTCCAGCCGGCAGGCCCAGCCCCAAACTTCCCAGCCTCATTCCCTGCATTTGTAAAATGGGGACAGCATGGTGTCCACTTCACCAGGGACTGGGAGGATTTACCTGATGCAGAACACAGTGCCCAGCACTGCTCCCTGGATGCCAGCTCTCCCCCAACCCTGACCCCACCAGGCCCTTGCATGGGAATGAGCAGGACCTTGAGACCTGACCCGGGGGGAGCTTCTAGACCCTGGAACCTGGTCCTGAGCCATCCTAGGGGTCAGGACATGGTGGAGGGCACCCACGAGGACTGTGGGCCAAGGGCAGGGGAGCCCCTTCCACGGTGACCTCACACACATCAAGGCATCCTGGCGGGCTGGGGTGGAGGGCACCCAGGCATGGGGACTGAGGCTGGGGTGGGGGACTCACACGGTGACCTCGCACAGGTGGCAGTACTGGCTCTGAATGACGTGCTCATGCTTGGTCCTGTCGAAGAGGGGCATGGGCCTGTTGTAGTTCTTCATCCGCACGTTGAGCTCCGCGGGGTCGGTGGACACGGCGATCATGTGGACCACAAAGTGGAACAAGAAGAGCACACTGGCCAGCTGAGGGGCATGTCAAGGAAGCAGGGCCAGGGCACCTCGCGTGACCGAGGGGCTTGAGCCCCAAAGGGCAGCAGGAGGATGAATAGCAGCCCCCTTGAGTGAGTGTCCACCCCGCACCCCTGGGAAGGTCTGACTCTGCCCTGCGAGCAACGGTCAGCCCCAAAACAAGCTACCATCGCCTAATGGGTCTCAAGGGACTGCACAGCACACACTCTGAGTAGGACCAGTGACAAGGGGGATGGGGGACACATCAGACCAAAGGCAGCCGACCTTGGCCCCAGTCCTGGGGTATCCACATTGCAGCACAGAGGGGCTGCCTCAACCGGTGTCTGCTGAGGATAACACACCACATTAGGGAGGGATGTTACCAGTTAAAACATGTCTCCTACAACATGTGTTAAAGCCTGATATAGATTGAACTGAGTGTCCCCCGCATTCTACCTTAAGTACATGTCAACTTGGCCGAGTCCAGATTCACGCTATTTGTAATCATCTTCCCATTTTGTGACCTGATGTAATTATCCTAAGTGTTGTAAATTCTAGCTTCAGCGAGGCTAAAGATGATGTTTTAAGTGGAAGAAAATTAAAACAAGTCCACAGAAGCTAACATAGGACCTTGAGTGTATTCCACCTGGATTTCAAGAACATCCCAAGTCCCAATAAAATAATTTAAAATAAAATAAAATAATTAAAATTCAAATAAAATCTAAAGAAAAAAAAATCCCAAGAATAGGTTTGACTGAGTGAACTGTTGAGCACAGGTGGCAGAAGACCCAATGAGCTGTGGGACAGTAAGAACACCTCACAGGAAAGACAGGTGAGAGAAGATCAAAGCGGATTTCAGATGAGACTCTGGAACGTGTTCTTGGTTATAGAGTAGTTGGGAGGTGCCATCGAATTGGTGCTGAAGCACAGTAACTACTCTACGATCCCCTCCGGAAGAAAGGATGCCATTGCAGAGCTGAATAGAACATTTCGCAGGGCAGCTCAAGGAGATCAGATCAAATGACAAGTGTTGCCCAAATTGTGGAAAAACTGGAACCCTCTTCCCATCAACGTTGTGTTTATAGGTTTATGTAAAACTGTTTATTGGACACAATGGGCACCTTCTCAGAAAATTAGATAGGCGCTTTTCAACTGAGGTTTTTCTGTTTTACTTTTTTATTGTTATTGGGTTTTTGGCTTGTTTTGTTTTGGTTGTATGTTTTCCTCTGTATGAAATTCAGGATAGGTAAATCTATGAAGACAGTAACTGGCTTGGTAATTTCTTGGGTTGGAGAAAACAGGGAGCTAATAAGAACAAGTATAAGAAAGGAGATGTTCTCAAATTGATTGCTGTGATGATTGCACAACTCTTTTCAATATGTTTAAACAACTACATGATATGTAAATCATATATCAATAAAACCTGTAAAACTTTAAAAAGACCAAATAAAATATTATAATGAAATTTGCCAAGACTTGGAGTTGGAAGACCAAAAAGGAGGGATACACTCAGTATATCAAGCTGGGAGAACTGATGAAAAAAGTCAATCCTTTAGCTGCAATATTGAAAGATTCTATGGACAAAATCATGATTGCTACAGGAAGCATCAAAAGAGGAAGGAAGGGAGAGGGGCACCAGACTGCCCCATCCCTGACTGCAGGAACAGCAAGGGGCACTTTAGGATGCTCGCCTTTCGGACACGAATGCTGAAGACTAAAGGGGAATATGTATTGTTAGGCAAGTGGGACCCGGGATATGTAACTCTGAAAGAAACGGGGACTTGGCTGATGGTTCATGACACACCCTTCTATCTATCAGATAGATACTCATCTGCTGAATGTCAGGATCCCTGTTAGACTTGTGACTATCTGTCTGTTCCCTTTTGGGTTTTTTTGTTTTGTTTTGTTTTGGTGTTTATCTATTTAAGATAGGCAGGATAGGCAATCTTACAGAAACATCAACTGGACCGATGGTTCCTGGGGGGCATGGAAGGATAGGAGTCAGTGTGGGAGAAGGGTTGAGTGGTGAGCCAATAGTGGCAGGTACAGCAGAATCGTAAGTATTCTAAAATTGATGGTGAGGAGGGTGTCGCTGTTCTGAATGTGCTTGATGTATCAAATTGTATCTGAGAGGAATTACAAAGAGGTGAATGATGGGTAAACTTGATAGTGGGGCAGGAGGTATATGTATATGTAAATATATAAATATATGTGTATTTGCTTATATATGTATATATATGCAAATGCAACAAGGAAGCAGATGGACATTTGGCCTCTACTAAAATGTTAATTGCAGTACAAGAATGGTTTGTTCTAATAATGTGTCATTGTATAATCCTGACCGATCACTAAAGACAAACTGGGTGCATAACCAAATGTGGTGAAGAAAGCTGATGGTGCCCAGCTATGAAAAGTTATAGCATTTGAGGTCTTACAGGCTTGTAGTTAAACAAGCGTTCATCTAGCAGGGAAGAAACAAAGCCCACATGGAAGAAACACACCAGCCTCTGTGAAAAGATAACAGAAGTTCAAAAATAAGCAATAAGCAATCAAATCAGTGTGAAGGGGTGTGGATGTAGTGGAGACCCCAAAACTACCTGTAGGGTAATTGGACAGTTCCTCTAAGAGGGACAGTTCCTCATGGAAGGGATGAAAAGTCCAGGGTGTGGTAGGACACTGATAACTGCATAACCATCTAGTTCTTTAATATTTCCTCCCCTTATTATTTTTATTTGTTTTATCTCATTAATTATGTCAGACTTGCATATGTTCATTTGTATATTTAAGATCCTTTGATACATGAAAGCCAAGGTAGATTACCCTTCAGAAACAGCAATAGGAGTAATGGTTCCCTGAGGGTTTGGGAAGGGGGAAGGGGAAGGGGAGAAGAGAGCTGATAGCACTGGTGACTATATAACCCCACTCAATGGGATCAAACAACAGAATTTTATGTGAATGGATATATTGGATGTGTAAGATATGGCCAAAAGGTGGGGGGAGCATTTGATCAAGGGCAATGGTAACCGAGAGGAATTACTGAAACCCAAATGAAAGCTGAACATGATAGTGGGACAAGAGGAAAGTAAAAGGAAATAGAGGAAAGAACTGGGAGGAAAAGGGCATTTATAGAGGTTTAAATGCAGGCACGAACATATGTAAATATATTTATATATGACGATGGGGAAATAGATCTATGCTGAGAAATTTGGAAGACAGGTACCTAGCCAGCTGGCTGGTAGAGATCCATATTTGTGCGTGACTCAACAAAATTCAGGTTATTAGACAATATCATTACGCTCACATGCAAGTAAAAGTTTGCTGAATATTGTTGAACACTGGTTGCATCAGTACATTGATAGGGAGCTGCTAGAGGTTCAGGCCAGATTCAGTAGAGCAAGTAGAGTGAGGGGTATCATTGCTGTCATCAGATGGATCTTGGCTCAAAATATGGAATACCAGAAAAATGTTTACTTGCATTTTATTGAATATGCCAAGGTAATTGACTGTGTAGACTATATCAAACTATGAAAAGGTAATTCCAGAACACTTCACATACTCATAACAAATTCCTGAATGCCTCAATGTACTCATGCAGGACCTGTACATGGATCAAGAGGCAGTTAGGGGAACGGTACAGGGGTGTGGTTTAATAATCAGGAAAGGTGTGCATCAGGGTTGCATCTTCTCACCATACCTGTTCAATCTGTATATTGAATAAATAATCAGAGAAGATGGATTGTATGAAAAAGAACAAGGCATTAAGATTTCAGGAAGACTTATTAACAACTTGTCAACAACACACAGATAAAACAAACTTGCTTGTTGAAAGTGAGGAGGACTTGAAGCACTTGCTGATGAAGATCAAGGATGGTGGTCTTCAGTATGGATCACAGCTCAATGTAAGGAACACCAAAATGCTCACAAGTGGACCAATAGGTAACATCATGATCAATGGAGAAAAGGTTGAAGTTGTCAAGGATTTCATCTTGCTTGGAGTCACAATCAATGCTCATGGAAGCAGCAGTCAAGAGATCAAACAATGCACTCGTTGTATTGGGTAATCTGTGGCACAAGATCTCTTTAAAATGTTGAAGAGCAAGGATGTCACTTTAAGGATTAAGCGATATTTTCAATCACCTCTATGCATGTGAAGGGAGTGGCTATGTGTTGGGGCTGCTAACCATGAGTTCAGCAGTTTGAAACCACCAGTGGTTCCTCGGGAGAAAGATTAGGCTTTCTACTCCTTTAAAGAGTTATGGTTTCAGAAATTCACAGGGGCAGTTCTACCCTGCTCCATAGGGTCACACGGAGTGGACATCAGCTGGAAGGCAGTGAGTTTGTTTTCTTTTATACGCATATGAAAGTTGAATAAGGAAGACTGGAAAAGAGTCAATACCTGTGAATGAAGGTGCTGGAAGAAGCACAACCAGGATATACCTCAGAAGCGAGAATGGTTGCAGCAGACTTTATCTCTGTGGTCGCTACATAACCTGGTGTCAACTTGAGACTATGAAGAGTGAAGAGGTGGAGTGTAATCTGTCAGTCAGGTCACAGACAGCTTGATGACCTAATTTGGAGGTGCTACAGAGATAAATAGCTCACTGGAGGCCAGAACCACTCTCTCTGCTTCGTCTTTCTGCTGACAAGACACTTGGAGCTACACTGATGGAGCCAGAGTCCTAGAGCTGGAGGAGTCACATGGAGACCCCTGCTAGCGCCGAGATGCTTCCAACACCACTGGATCCACTAGACTTTCTACTCACTGGCCTATGATCTTCCTGCAGCTGGCATCATTGCATGTGTTGTGTGAGTCTAAAGAAGAATTTATGGACTAGTATAGGACATATGGCCTTGATCTGCACTGGGATGGGCTGTTGTCTTAATATACAATTGCTCTTTGATATAAAGTGCTCTCTTATACACATATGAGTGTCTCTGGATTTGTTTTTCTAGTCTACCTGGACGAACACAATCTCACATACTTTGGACTTGTTATTAGAGGTGCCCGTTCCCTGGAAAAGAACATCATGCTTGGTAACGTGGAAAGGCAGTGAAAGAGTCAGACCTTTAACAAGAGGGTTGAGATAGGGGCTCAGACATAACAGCAGCTCAGACTGGGCCATGTTGTATAGGGTCGACATGAGTCAGAACCAACCAGAAGGCACCTAGAGATGACGACGACGAAGATGCTAAAGAGGCAGGATTGGAGGCAGTTATGTTCATGAGGCAGGTGACAAGTCACAGGATCCGGACATATCCTGAATCACTCTCTTCTGAGATATAGAGGAGATTAAACAAGTAGTCAGAGATCAGAAGGCTCTAATGCCTCCAAGAAAGAAGAGCAGGGGCAGAGTGCATCCTTTGGACCTGAGGTCCCTGTGCTGGAAACCTCCTAGACTCTGGAGAAGATGGATGTCAAGATAGACAGAGATCTCAAAGGGGACTCTGGGAGAACTGCAGAGGCTGAAAGAGACTAGGCTTTTTCTTACAGAACCTAAGCTGAGAAAAAGCCTTCCCTGGTAACTGGTACCCTGAATCTGTACTTCTGGCCTCCTACATTGTGCACAAATAAATTTTGTTTCTTAAAGTCACTCACATGTGGTGTTTTGGCAACAGCAGTAGCAGGTAGTAATGGCAGCTATCCCTATGGGAACAACCAGTTTGGAAACTGTGCCTTCTCTGTGATGTTCCTCTTTATGGCAATATGAACGTCCCCTTAATGTTAGTCTGCTGTCCTGAGGGCTCCACATACCCCAATCTGATTGTGATAGATAATTTTATGCCAACGTGAAGATATATAAAAGTGGGGGCGGGTGAGGTGAGGGTGGTGGGGAGCAGCTGAGGCTTTTTGACTTGGGATGGAGGTATCTTGGCAGAATGGGCTGAAGACCCTGAGCAAGCAGAGGCTCACCAAACTGCAGGTGCAGGCACAACACGGGGAGCCTGTGGATATATGAGTCTTAACAAGGACTTACGGACTAGTATCATACTTATGGACTTGAGTTGGGCTGGGCTGGGATGTTTTCTTGATATATAATTAATTACACCTTGTTATAAAGCTCTATCTTACACATGGCGATGAATGCCACTGGATTTGTTTCTCTAGTCAACCTGGACTAACACACTGGTCCATGCCTCCCCACCATCCATCATCAAGCAGGGACACATCTCACAAAGCAGAGACACATTTCGGGGCAAAAGCAGACACATTGGGCAGGGCCGTGTGTACCCTGGAAGCCATTCTCTTTATCCCTCAGCACCGATCTTCAGTTTATACAGACCCATGTGCCCACCCAGATCACTAAGGATACACTGTAGGCCAGGTATCTGTAGAAACTGGGCAGCAGGGGAATGAAGATGGCAAAGCTGGTGAAGGTCAGGACCAGGAATGTGGTCCAGGCCACAGCCTGCAACATGTTGAGCGGCAGGGACCAACCATTCACTCTGGCCAACAGGGCTGACTTTAAGACCTTCTTCGGTGCGTCTGCGTCCTCTTTGGGGGTGATCTGTTGCGGTTTCCTGCCACAGAGGCCCATCTGCAAGGGGAAAAGGGGAGAGGGACAATGCCATCGTCACAGGGAGCACTCATGGGGTCATCATGGGGCCCCACCCTGGGGGTTCTGCCAGCAGCCCCCAAGCATCATCCTCTAAGTTTCATGTGAGAGCTGCCCAGCCTTACGCAGTGAGACCTGGGTCCCATTCCCTTGGTCATGTCTTATGGGCTCATCTGTAGAAGGACAACGTGGACACATGGCCCAGGTGGATTGTGAGAGCTCAGACTAGTGTCAGAATGCCCAGTAATCAAAGTAAACCTGGGCTCACTTGTGTGTCTTAGACTAGGTTCTCTAGAGAGGCAGGACCAGTGAAGCTTACATTTGTATATATACAAATAACAAACAACCAAACTCACAGCCATTGAGTAGATGCCGCACAGGCTAGAACTGCCCCCTGTGAGTTTTGAGACAGTAACTGTTTAAGGGAGTAGAAATCCCCCGCTTTCTCCCAAGGAGCAGCTGGGGTTTTCAACCTGCGGACCTTGTGGATCACAGCCCAACATGTAACCGCTACACCATCAGAGATCCTATGGATTGACACAGAGAGGTTTTCATCAAGGAAATGACTCACACAATTGTAGAAACAGGCACGTTCTAAGTCCGCGGATCAGATGTCAGCCTGGAGGCTTCTCTGTGATTCAAGTAGCTGTAGGGGCTGATGGACCCAAGAGGGTCTGGTCAGACGACAGACTGTTGGCTGCAGAAACAAATGAACCCCAGGTCAGCAGGGGAGATGGCAAGCTGCTGCTGACTCCCAGGATCCGCACGCAATATATCGGTGTGCTGGTTGGATGATGAGCTCTGGCTCAGGACCCAGACCCAGCAGAAAAGCAAATAAGTTCCCCACAACATCCGGTTCTATCGGAAGTGGCCGCATCCCCAAGGAGGTCTCATCATAGGCAATTTCTAGATCTAAACTGTCAAACCACTGGGAATCCTGGTCCAGTCAAGTTGGCAAATAACCTCAACTATCACAGTCCACCCCTTATCAACTGGGTACCTGTACTAATCTCCTTAAACTATACATAATCTCTAAATAAATATAACTATAAAGTTACACTTGCACCTAATGTAGTATAATTAACTTGCACAGGAACAACCAAAACTACGCTAATCCCATTTACATCTTACATTTTAGAAGTAAGCAAATTCAAAGGATTTGATACCTACATACAAGAAGGGTATATTCAAACCAACTACATTTCTTGTTTACACAACTAGTCACTTAGTGCAGGCTGGTATTTAGAACTACCTTGTTCCGCCCCCCGATCCGTATATCCTTTGCCCTCAGCAAGCACCTCTGCTTGTTGTGGTTCTTTGCCTGGGGGTCTGGGTCAATAATTGCTCTCATTTACCATTTACTTTAACCATAGGGCATGGTAGTGCAAAGAGATGTCCTAAGGAAACTCCTGGATTCTAGACACATTCTTCTTTGCCTTCACTGTAATATCAACCTGATTTCCCCTTGGTAATCAGGATGAATCATTCCATCCAATACAATAACTCCCTTCTTTTCTGTTGACCTAGAGGCATGAGGAGCCAGGTCAGGAGGCATTCTTAATTTCAAGTTCAATGGAATCGGTGCTGTGTCTCATGGTAGGAATAGTATTCCCTTTGGAATTAAGACCTTCAGACCCAAAGAGCGTAATGGGTCTAGGACAAGTAGCAAAAATGTTGTGAGTGGCTCACTGGGCATAACAGTGACTTGTGCTACTTTTCCACCATTTCCACAACTTGGTTCTGGGGTCTGTGAATCCTGGCTATTGGAGAAAGAGCACCATATATTGGCCTCGAGTTTAGAGCATATACAATCTCCTGGATAACATTGCTCCAACACTGCAAGGTGTTACTACCTAACTGCACTGTAATAGTGTCGTTATAAAATCATTCCATTGTTCTATGAAGCCAGCTATTCAGGCTAATGGGGGACATAGTAAGACCAGTGAATTCCGTGAGCATGCACTCATTGCCTTATTTTATTAGCTGTAAAGTGAGACCCTTAATCCAAGACACTATTTGTGATAACACAATGATGGATAAGGCATTCTTTAAGTCCGCAAATCGTTTGGGCAGAAACATCAAGTGCAGAAAAGGGAAATCTGCCTCCAGAGAAAGTACCTGCTCAAGTAAGAACACAATGCTGCCCTTTCCATGATGAAGTGGTCCTATGTAATTAATCTGCCACAGGCTGCTGGTTGATCTCCCTCAGGAATGTTCCTGTATCTTGGACTCAGGGTTGGTCTCTGCTGCTGGGGCACTCAGCAGTGGAAGTAGCCAAGTCAGCCTTGGCGAATGAAAGCCCAAGTTGATGAGCCCACACATAACCTCCATGCCTGCCACCAAGACCACGCTGTTCATGCACCCACTGGGCAAAACCAGGAGAGGCTGGGGAAAGAGAAAGACTGGTCTCTACAGACTGTATCATCCTATTCACTTGATTTTAAAATCTTCCCCCGCTGAGGTAATCCTTTAGTAAGCATTAACATGAGACACAGATAGAGCCACTTTATTTTATATGTTTGCCCATTTAAAAAGGTCTAACCATATACCTCTTCCCCATATTTCCATGTCACCAATTTTCCAAGCATGCTTCTTCCACAACCCTGACAATACAGCCAAATCATTGGCTGCAGCTGATGAATCAGCATACAGATGCATATCTGGTCATTTCTACTTTCAAGCAAAATGAACAACTAGGTCTACTGCTCAAGGTTCCACCCATTGCGAGGATTTCCCTTCACGGCCATCCTTCAGGGACGTCCCAGGAAGGGCTGTCGCACTGCTGCTGTGGTACCTGTGTGTCATGCAGAACCACCAGTAAAGTAAGCATGAGTTTTCCCTTCCTTGGCCAATTGATCATAAGGAACTCCACATGAGGCCATAGGTGCAGACGAAGAAGAGGAAGGTACTGTGACAAGAGTAGAGGCCATAGACATTTAGGCTACTGCTTTGAGAAGCTTATTTTTTTCCCTTCAAGTCTTGCTTAAGCCTGATCTTGCATATACTGCTTCCACTTAGTGATGGAATGCTGCTGGGCACATCCAACTTTAGGACGTTGTGGTTCAGACAACACCCAACTGATAGTGGGTAGCACACACCATGTGGCGACTTGGCCCATGGTGGGTTTTTCGGTCTTCAGTAAGGCCTGCAGGTAGGCCATACGGGGTCTCAGTGGTAAATCCCTCCAAAGTGGCCAGCCTATTCTGTCTTTAGAGTCTATTTTTCCTCTGGAATCTCTGGCGCCACCCGCTCACATTGGGAAATCCTGATGGCATTTGAAATACCAGCATCATAGCTCCAGCATGCATGTGGATTATGATGTTGATAAAGAAAACTGAACGCGCCGTGGACTGCCAAAAGATCAAACAATTGTGTCTTGGAAGAAGTACAGCTAGAATGTTCCCTAGAGGCTTTGTAGAGAGGTTCCTTGGCAACTTTGTCTCACGTATTTTAGACATGTTATCAGAACAGGGCTCAGGAGAAGGACATCATGCTTGGTAAAGTGGAGGGGCAACAAAAAGAGGAAGACTCTTGACAAGATGGATTGACACAGGGGCTCAAACATAAGTACTATTGTGAGGAGGGCCCAGGACCGGGCAGTGTTTCATTCGGTTGTGCACAGGGTTGCTATGAGACAGGAACAACTCCCCACTGCCTAATAGCAGCAACCACAGTAGCAGGCCTCAGGCCGTTTCTCAAAAGGAAAGGATGGTGGTTATGTTCAGAAGATATAACCTAAGGGTCCTAAGGGTCTGCTCTGTAAGTCGCCAGTACGGGCCTGCCAGCAGTTCCACCGTCATCTGTCAGTTTATCGAAGTGTGGTGATTCGCTCATTGTGCTGTCTCTGGAAGCTATGCCGCTGGCATTTCAAATACCAGCAAGGCAAGCCAGGTGGACAGATTTCACCAGAGCTTCCAGACTAAGAACAAGCCATAAAACACAAATAGGCTGTCAACTTCGGAGGAATTAGCTGAAAACCGGGTGCATGGCAGCAGAACTTTGGACGGTGGACAAGGAGACCTAATAAGAACGAATGCATGTGAATGATGGGGCTGACAAAGAGCATTCAAAGTACCATGGACTGCCAGGAGAATAAATAAATCTGTGCTGGGAGAAGTACACCCCTGGAGCAGGGATGGCCCACATCCATCTCATGTACTTTGGGCATGTTACCAGAAGAAAACAGTCCCCAGAGATAAATGGGGCGGGGGGCGCGGGGAAGCAGCCAAAATGAGGCAGACTCTTGACAAGATGAGTTTACACAGTGGCTTCCACAATGGCTCCAACCTAAGAATGATGATGGGGACGGTGCAGGGCCAGGCAGCGTTTCACTCTGCTGTGCATCAATGGCACCCAGCAGCAACTGCTTTATCGGTGACAATGTTCTTCCCCAGGGACTGATGTCTCCTGACAACAAGCCTCAAATACTTGAGAGGAACTCATGCCAGCCTGGCTTCCAAGGAGCATTCTGGTTGGACTTCTTTCTAGACAGATTTCTTAATTCTATTGGCAGTTCATGATACTTTCAATAGTCAATTTACTGATAAGGCATGGCTCAAAATGAGAAGAAACAGTTGTAAACATCAGTTAATAACTGGAACTTGGAATGTATGAAGTATGAATAGAGAAACATTGGAAGTCATTAAAAATGAAATGGAACTCATAAATATTTATTTCCTAGGTGTTAGAGTGCTAAAAATGGACTGCCATTGACCTCCTTGAAACAGAAAACCCTACAGTTTGCTATGCTGGGAATGACACCATCCAGAGGAGTGGAGCTGCATTCGTCCTCAGAAAGGACAGTTCAAGTTCTACCTTGAAGCACAATGCTGTCTGTGATAGGCTCATGTCTATCCATACAAGGACATCTGATCAATACAACTATGATTCAAATTTATGCACAAGCTACTAAGGCTAAGGAAGAGACTGAAGAATTCTGCCAACATCTTCAGGCTGAAATTGATCAAACACGGAACCGAGGTGCATTGACTGGTGACTGGAAAGCAAACGTTCCAACAAAGAGGAAGGAACCGTATTTGGAAATTATGGTTTTAATGTTATCAACAAAGCTGGGTATCGAATGTTAGAACTTTGAGTGGTTTTGCAAGAACCCCACACAAGAAGTGCTGATACATATAGATGTGGGGGCTTGCGTTGG